ATTAAAAAATTAATGATTACTAATCATTAGCGAAGCTTATTTCTTATATTGCCCACCTATTCTATAGAATATCCCAAAAGGGAATACCATTGAACGTATCTGATATTTATAATGATAAATTATCTGTAGATCAGGTATTATATTTACCTATGTATTTTATATATATCTTTCATATATAGGGTTTGAAAATTACATAAATTTCTGAAGTCAAATTTACAATAATTTTTGTTACATGAGTAACATTGGCAAAACTTTCGTAGAGCTAGCACATAAAGTCTAGTACTGTAATACTGGTAAAACTTTTGTACCATTGCATTATTTAATGTAAAAGTTGCGTACGTACGCGCATACGTACAATTTTATTGAATCTATTATGCCGAAATTACAAACTTAACCGAATCGGCCAATTTTTATCAGATGTTTCAGGAATTATGATAATAGCTGTAAATTTAATGCACCAGCTTTCGCCCCAGAGGGGCACAAATTGGTGCATTAAATTCAAGACGGAACTTACTGCTACTATCATAATCCTGGAACACCTGAACGTTTTTTCGGCCAATTCGGCTAAGTTAGTGATTTTGGCATAATAGATTCTATAAATTGATACGTATACGTATTTACGTGCGTATGTAATTAAGATCAGGTAATTAATATAAATATTATGCCGTTATGTATCTCTCAGATCACATACAGAAACATCATGCTTTCAATGCATCTTTGTTGGCAAGTAATTGAAAAAAATTTAGAAAACTTATCATTTCGAAAATTGCAAAATCTTAGATGTTCGCATGTCTTTTATAAGTCGAGTTCTCAAGCATTTTCGAAGATATGGATATATTAAAAACTTCTGCGACAGATATTAATAAAATCAAGATTTTTTGAACGTAATCTTGAGTCATACCTTTAATCCAATCGACAAAATTCTTGACCATTTCTAACTTTTTTAATGTCAGCACTACTTGTGTAATATGTTTATTATAAAAGTCTATTTTATATCAAATTAATTTTTATTTACATTTCAGCTTTTAAAGCTACTCGTTGTATCCGGTACAAGTCAATAGTGAAATTGTTGGCTGCAACCACAGGGGGAATTGCTGGTGCATATCCACGTGGGGTAGGAAATGCTGGTGGGTCCCAAAATACTTCACCTACGGGAATATTTATTTGAAAATGTGCCAAGTTTGGTGCATTGCAAGGAGCAGGATCACGGATAGGATCTTTTGAATGTTTTTTAACATTTCCAAAATCCCATCTTTGTGTTGCCATTCCTTGACGATAAAGTTTCGCCTAATATTAATATCAAATGATGCAATGTTTGGCTTGATACCATTAAATGTTATACCGTCATTGTTCTATAAAAATAACCAGTAGTAGGTTCTCGAATCCCTGGTCTTGGTTCTAAAATCTTCATACTAACAACTGCACGAACATATTGTTCGCGCATCCAAGTCAAGCACTTTTGTCTTAAATAACCAACATTTGGGCCTACTGCTACCTCACATATTATCCGCACATGTGGATTTCCCTGCATAAACCATAATAATGAAAATTATGCCTTTATATAAAACAGACATAATAAAAAACTTAACGTACATCTACATCACCGGGAGGAGGGGGTACTACGGTGGAAAAAACGGGCCTTGGGACAAATGCTGTACCTGGACGTACAGCCACAACAGGAGCTATTTTAACTCCATTTCCATCAGGATTGTAATGAACTATATGAAAAGGCTATAAGAGTTATTGAATTTCAATAACACGAAGCAACTAGAATAGGTTCTCTTACAAGGTTTTCCAGAAACGTTTATAGGAGGATCGTCAACAACTCCACCGTTCGGAACCTCAAAAAATTTTTGAAGCCGGGAAACAACATCCTCGTGTATAGTTGAAGTCATACCAATTATATATACGTTGCCAGTTTTATTGTCACTATTTAACTCAAATTGGAATTTGTATCCCGATAACCCGTGGTTGTTAAGAAAAGTATTATAATTTTTGATCGTTATGTTCGAGCCAATTTTTAAAGGCAAACTTCATACAAAGTCCATATTAGCTGATAATTAAGTAGTAAGTTAATGCAACATATATACTACCTGCTTTCTTCTAACGGGATTTTTGGCAATTTTGGATAATTATGTAAAAGTTCGTCAACTTTATCCAAAATCCTTGCCCAAATTTCAATTGAAGTACGTGCACAAGACATTTCGAGCTATGGTTTATTATTATAGAAAAACATGTGGTGAGGATGCTTTAATGAAGAGTTAATAATAAAAATTTTGGCTCTAGAGAAATTTACCGAGACTAATCTTCGAAAAAGCAATAGATCTGTTAGTATTGATAAGAAATATCGAAATCGCGATAATCAAATTTCAAAATTGATTGGTACTGCGTCAGTGACTATGTAGTACCTTATCAGATCACATGCCAAAGATCATTTTTATGGATTTCTATTGGACGCCGTTCTGATCATCGCGATTTCATAAGTAAAAAGTTTTAAAAATTTGAGCGAGAATATCTCAGCAAAAAACATTTACCTCTTTCATAAGTTCCTTACAGCTATGCTTTGATCCGTGAAAATGTTTAAGTGCAATTAGTATTGCCACCTATTAGTAACTGTGTCCACTCAGCATAATACACAATTGCAAATCCTCCTTTTCCTATTTTTCTTATAATTTTCAATTCACTAAATGGAATCCATGTTATTAATATTTTATTTTCGTTCAAGAATTTTTTTAGAAAATCATCAATGTCACCGTTATTATAATTAGTTGCTTTTTGATTTTGATTGATCTTCGATTTTTTCAACCATTCATTAGCCTTTTCCTGATTAGGTAATGTTCCAATGCCATTTCGATAACATAATCCAAGTCTATATTGCCCATTAGGATAACCATCTTCAGCAGATTTTAAATACCACTCGAATGCTTTTTTTTCATCCTTAGCAGTGCCTGACCCATGTTCGTAGCAACTTCCAAGATTATATTGTCCAATAGAAGCACCACCTTTAGCAGATTTTAAATACCACTCGAATGCCTTCTTTTCATCCTTAGTGGTGCCTATGCCTTTGTCATAGCAGTATCCAAGACAAGATTGCCCGACGGAATTACCACCTTCAGCAGATTTTAAATACCATTCAAATGCCTTCTTTTCATCCTTAGCGCCTATACTAGATTGATAGTAAAATCCAAGATTACGTTGCCCACTGGAATTACCGCCTTCAGCAGATTTTAAATACCATTCAAATGCCTTTTTTTCATCCTTAGTAGTGCCTATGCCATTTACATAGCAAGATCCAAGAATATTTTGCGCAAGAGAATCACCACCTTCGGCAGATTTTAAATAACATTCGAATGCCTTTTTCTCATCCTTAGTAGTTCCTATGCCATTTGTGTAGCAATTTCCAAGATTACATTGCCCAATGGAATTACCACTTTCAGCAGATTTTAAATACCACTCGAATGCCTTTTTTTCATCCTTAGTAGTGCCTATGCCTTCGTCATAACAGTATCCAAGACTATATTGCCCGGTGGAATTACCACCTTCGGCAGATTTTAAATACCATTCAAACGTTTCTTTTCATCCTTAGTAGTGCCTATGCCTTTGCCATAGCAGAATCCAAGATTACATTACCATCGGAATTACCACCTTCGGTAGATTATAAATACCATTCAAATGCCTTTTTTTCATCCTTAGTAGTGCCTATGCCTTTTTCATAGCAAATTCCAAGACTAACTTGCCCACTGGAATTACCACCTTCGGCAGATTTTAAATACCATTCGAATGCCTTTTTTTATCCTTAGCAGTGCCTTTGCCATATTGATAATAAAAACCAAGTTTAAATTGCTTATAAGAATCGCCATTTTTAGCGGATTCTAAAAGTATTCTAAATTCATTCATTTTTATTTATGGAATATTTTCACGAAGATTATATTTGTTAAATCATTGTTGTCACTATTTTATAATGAATAAAAGTTAAAAGGCGGATTGACTGCAACAATGTCCGTAACAATCACACAAATATATTAGCATACATCTGCTAATCATTACTACATCGGTCAAACGAAAAGTCACAAGAACATTTGTATGTTTTTTTCAAAATTAAAAAAAATAAGAATAATAACTACTTTAACATGTCTTCAAAATAAGCAATTCAGACGTGAAATGGTAACGACTGGTGATTATACATCAAGATTTAGCAATTATAAATATATTTAAGATATATAAGCGTCCAATTTCCTATTCTCTTACTTACAATTTAAGATTACTTTAAAATTTTTAAAAAATTCTTAAATATTCAAAATGAAAATTGCATACAAGTAAATAAATAAATTATTTTAATATTAAAGTTTGAAGATATTATCTATTAGTAAAAATTATATCCCATTTTTTAGATGGCGAAATTTGATATAATGAATTGTAATGTTTAAATTTTATCTACCATTTTGTTTTTGAGACTTTTTTTTTTAATTCATAGTGTAGGAAATTTTGAGCTATTATTAGAAAGGGTGTTAACAATGTTCGTCAAGATGTTTGAGTAATATCAGAGTAGTTTGCTGAAAAATGTATCTATTAAAAACATTGATGATAGATTTTATAAGGATACGTAATTTGATAATCTATCCTTTAAGCATTTTTCACTTTTAATATGAATATTTATGTAGGGAGTGAACCAATGATCATTATTAAGAGTGCGTGGTCGTTGCTTAAAGAAGAATGTTGGAAGTAAAAATAGTAGTGATTTTGGATATTTAAATAGTCTCTAATTGATAAAATGGGGTTTTCTGATTTTGACAATGTACTTTAAAATACAATCTATCGTTAAAAGTTAATTTCTTATTAATAAGTTTTTACCATGAACTTTATATAACACATAAAAGTAAACTTGAATACTTTATTTAGTATTACTCTGCATTGTCATATAATATGTTATTTTTAAGGAAAACTATTTTGATATCATATAAACTTTTCAATACATTGACATTACAGTGAACGCACTTTATTATTGCTCTCACATCGTTGGATTGGAATTATTGTGGATTTAGAATGCATCTAGGTTGATTCCAAATAAACATAGGTTGTAATAGAATTCAAAAATGTACTCGAGACGTTAAAGGATTCCGATTCAATTTGCAATAAATTAAATGTACTGTATTCTAAATCAATTCATTGAATAAATTTAAGTCGCTTTAGGATCAGATTTATTCATAACGCAGCGTATTGCAAATTAAGTAAATTTACTGTAAAAGCATTACGTAAATTTTTACATCTATGATTAGTGAGATTGCAATTACTCTCACTGGGTCTTTTATAAGTGTTAAGGAACTAGTAGGGCAATAGGGCACTACAGAGTAAAACTTTGATATCTATAAGTGATGATAATGGAGTGATGCAATGACGGGTGGTGCTGTTAAGGGTGATAGGGAAATGGTGGCCTTAAGGACTGTGATGGATTAACAGAGTCGAATAACCAATTGTAAGTGTCGTTCTCTACCACAATTCCCACAAGTCACTAATGTGAATGGCAATATCTGATTCCGCAAGCGTTCTAGAATCCGAGTCTTAATAAGCCAAATCGAAGTTACAAGTCAATTCAGTCCGTCGAATTTAGTCTCGAAAGGGTTTATTAAAGTTACAAGTCGAATTCGGAGAATAGTTCACAAGGGAAAAATTCAGATTAGATGTATTTTATTATTTATTGGTAATTAAGAGTGGATGAGAACTGCCCTTCTTTATTGAACTCAAAGTGCTTACATACATTTTTTATCTTATAGGGTGTCTTCGTTCTAATCTGAGCTAATTCGTCCTAATTTGAACGTATACGCGATTTCTTGGGTGTATACACCTTGATTTGAGCGTATTCGCTCAAGACGTAGGGATCAACAAATTGGTGTAATCGCGTATTCGCGATAATTTGGGTGTATACGCGATTTCACATATGCTAAGCCACCAAGCCAACCACTTTAGTATACGTTATGAAATAATCAGAAAAAATTAATATATATACTAAATTAGACAGTATTACCAAAATAGATGGGGTAGCACAACTAAATTATATACAAGCGGGAAAGTTACAGACTAAAATATAGGGTGGTGCTTATTTCACCGACAATCACTTCGCCGACAGCCCATTTTACCGACAGTCAATTCACCGACAAGTTTATTCCACCGACAGTTATTTTACCGACAATCATTTCACCGACAAAGTAATTCTAGTCATTTCGTTAGGGTCAGATTAGAATTAGAGTTAAGGTTAGTGCAATTTTTTAAAAAAACTTGTCGGTAAAATTAGCTGTCGTTGAAATAATTGTCGTTGAAATAAACTTGTCGGTGAATTGATTGTCGGTGAAATGAATTGTCGGTAAAATGATTGTCGGTGAAATGATACGTATCCTAAAATATAAGTTTAGAATAAAAACAAAGAAACTAAGTTTTAATTTATTACAACACTAATGATTCTGAAAAGAAAAAAAAGTTCATTTTAGAAAATTTTGGGTTCGTTATATCTAAAATCGGCTGTATTATCTAATTAAAACTTATCAGGACCCAACGGAAACAATTCATTAGCATTATACGTAATACTAATGATGCCAAATTTGAATTTAAGTCTATATGTGCCATTCTCAGAAACTTCAAGAATCCTGCATGGGAGTGTTTTCGATCGTTATGTCAGTATTTGCTGGATCTTGTAAAACCTTAATACAAAAATCAAAAAAGAGTTTACATCGACTATTAGCCGATTTGTTGCTAAGATATTTGAAAATCAATTCTTTGAATGGTTACTAGGTAAAGAATGGATAACCTTGAGATTCGGTTATCGGGTAGAGAGTGTTGCAAAGAATGAAAAGGTGAATAAGGAAAAAGCAGGTAATAAAAAAAAAAATTGGTATTTTTTTCA